GGGACACATTATTGTTAGGGACACATTATTGTACACGTGTTAGGGACACATTATTGTTAGGGACACATTATTGTACACGTGTTAGGGACACATTATTGTTAGGGACACATTATTGTTAGGGACACATTATTGTACATGTGTTAGGGACACATTATTGTTAGGGACACATTATTGTTAGGGACACATTATTGTACACGTGTTAGGGACACATTATTGTTAGGGACACATTATTGTACACGTGTTAGGGACACATTATTGTTAGGGACACATTATTGTTAGGGACACATTATTGTACACGTGTTAGGGACACATTATTGTGCCTAGTTCAAGGAGAACTGTCTACATTTTTTGAAGAAAAATACTGGAGTTCTACAAGGCTGTATGCTATCACCTGTACATTTCGGAATTGTAACTGATTTTGTGATGCCACAGAGCAAAGACATCGGAATAGGCATTGGGTGGAAAAACGGTACACTTCTAGGGGGGAGGGGGGGAGAGGGGTACATTTTGTTGATGACAATTATTACCAAACACCACAATGCAATTAAAACCAATGAATTGACAAGATATATATGAAACGCTGACCTTGTCCGAAATGATTCCAAAATAGAAATGCCTAAATTATCACCAGAAACTATTCACATCATTGTTTATGACACACCTCAAGCGGAAATCAATAAAGCCAATTGCTTTGGCAGCATTATCTCCAAAATGTCAGACTGCACTGGCGACATAAATCAGAGATTTCAAAATGCATCGTCACATTTTGGGAATTAAATACCACCTGGGATTCAAAGATCTTTTCAGGGAAGACAAACTTTTTAGAAGTGAATTAGCTATGTTTTAGCGGTATTACGGTATAATTAAAAGATTTGAAAAACAAAGTGATTCAACGAAAACCCTTAGACTATCTATCTATCTATCTATCTATCTATCTATCTATCTATCTATCTATCTATCTATCTATCTATCTATCTATCTATCTATCTATCTATCTATCTATCTG